CGCCCTGCTGCCCCGTGCCAGAGGGCCAGGGCTGGGCCAGGGGCTCGTGTCTCAGCAGTGAGGAGCGGGGCTGGATCTGCCCGGCTCGGCTGCTGCGTCGCTCCCCAGCCTGCTCGGCTGTGCCGTTTGCTGTGTCCTGTTCGCTCTGACCCACGGGTCCAGCGCTAACGTGCACTGGCCTGGGGCAGAAAGCGGAGACGGGGCCCAGTGTGCGCAGCTGAGCGGTGAGTGGGGCCGGGGTGAAGAGTTGTTGCAGCGGGGAGGGCTTGGCGCACTGTACCCGCCCCTGGGCCCCCTCGCGCCTAACGTGCACTGGCCTGGGGCAGAAAGCGGAGACGGGGCCCAGTGTGCGCAGCTGAGCGGTGAGTGGGGCCGGGGTGAAGAGTTGTTGCAGCGGGGAGGGCTTGGCGCACTGTACCCGCCCCTGGGCCCCCTCGCGCCTGGGCAGGGACTCGAGCGCAGGGAGAGGTGGTCAACAGTGGAATCGTGGGGCATGCGGCTTGGCTGAAAAAATAAACCTTTATTTCCATGTGAGACGACGCTGTGCAGAAGGGTCCCGTGCGCCCGCCCCGGGCTCCGGCCCAGCACCTCCACCCGCGAACAGCGAGGGCGACTCCTGGCCCCGCCCCCGAGCACTGCATGGCTGGGGCGCTTAGACGCTGCTTCCGCAACAGGTCCCATTGGCAACTCGCCAGGAGCCCGAGGGGGTCCCCCCGGGTCTAATTGCATCGTCAGATGGGGCGGCCTGCCCCCTCCTGGGAGCCGGGGCGGGTGCCAGGGGCTGGAGCCGTGTGCTCCCTGCTGCACTGGCGGCTGCCCCTGCCGGGGTCGCTCCTGCCCTTCGGGGCGAGGCTCAGAGCCTGACTCGGGCGGGACGCTGCTCTGTCCACCCGGAGGTTCGGAAAGGTCCGTGCTTGAGCTGCCTGGGCGCTGGCACGTGGGCAGCAGAGGGCACCCCAGGCAGGCGATTTACAACTGGGCTCGGGGCTGTGGAAAAGGGGCTCCAGCTGCGCCCAGCCGAGGGCTCTGCAGTGACCCAGGAGAAAGGCTGTACTGGCCCCAGGGCACTGCCTGGCACCCCAGGATCCTCCTCGCCCGCCAGTGCCAGGGCCTGCCAGCAAGGCCGCAGAGCCAGGGCTGGACGGTGGAGGCTGCACGGGGGGGCTCACAGCTGGTCAGTTGGCTGCAGGCTGTTGCTGAGCAGCTCTCTCTGGAGGCAGGGCCGGAGAGGCGCGTGGCAGGCCGGGCTGTGCCAGGCGGCTGTGGGCACCGGAGCTGGAACCAGGCGTGTGCCCGGGCTCTCTGGGCTCTCCTGCCGGAGTTGGGTTGGCCACAGGGAGCAGCCTTTGCTCCCCACGGGTCAGTCGCTGCGGCCGAGGGGGCAAGCGAGGGGCGGGGGGGCTTTG